GTGGGATCCTCAGGGTGAAGCAAACTTACAAGGAAACATGTCTTGGCCAAAAGGAGGACACAGAAGCTGGTCTCATCCTTCTGCCCCATACAGGATAATACAAATTTGTTGCATGGGTTAAAACAAGACAGGTATTGACAAGAAAAGTAGTCTTTTATTTCAATTATTATTTCTTGGCATTAGGCAGATATTAAATAACACTGGAATGCACAAGACTATTAACATATTGACAGCAAAAGGTAGGAGGTGTAGCAAAGTTGAGGACAGCAGTGCGAGTCACGTCACCTCATTTCACTCAAAAGCCATTTAATGCAGCAACCACCAGAAAGTAGGACTCCACTGAGAAATACAAAATTAAGATTACTTCTTTCAGGTCTTTTGTTAATACAGTAACGCTGAAACGATCAACAGTAAAAATGAACAAATATTTGCATTCAGTAATTAAACAGAGTGAAATATCCACAAACTGCTAGTCATGCATTTCTTTTTGAACAGCAATTTGCTAATGCATAAATATCACAAAAAACAATCTGCAAGATTTGAATAAATCACAGACAACTAGAAGAAACGAAGCTTGGATTCTATTTTATGCCTTAAATAGATGACCTAAATATTTAAAATTTTACTTCACCATATATATATAATTTATATATATATTAAAAGAAAGTAAAGACCATTAGATAAGTGCAAGCAATTTTCCTCAAAAAGAAAATTGGAACCATGCCCAGGAAAGCTGCTTTTTTTTTTCTTTTTTTTGAACTTTCTACTCCAAGGAGTCCACATTTTTTTACATAGTCATTTCTGAAGCAAAATAAATTATCTATCTACCATCTGCTATGTTGGATGAAAGTCCTACCTAGCATCTCCTCAGGACTACCAGAACATTACCTTTCTCACAGACTAAGCAAAGAAGTGGTATCTCACCAGCAGTTTGAACTCTTTGTATCTGCATGTAAACATACCTTTCATTTAACGTAACATGTGCAGAGTGAATCATAACATTACGGGGAAGCAGAAATGGAGCTGCCAAAGGAGAGCTGCACTGGTGTTAGTGAGAGGAGCGAGGGCCGTTTCACTCAGACACACACAACCTGGCAAAGGGGTCTTATCCACTAACTGTTGAGGAATGATTGAGAAGGCATCCATTTGCGAGCAAAGCTTGAACGACAAGCCGGTTTTCTCTTTGCAAACTGTCCAGTTTAATCAGAATTGACTCGCGCTGCTCGGGTCACATTGTAACAATCGCACGATGGAGGGATCACTCTTGGCACCTTTAATAAACTCTTCCAGGGACAGCTTACCTGGAAGGGAGGAAAAACAAACAGAGAGAAAGAGAAAAAAAGAAGTCATTTGTGCCGCCACCATCTCTGTAGCTTATAAAAAAACCCTACTCACAGAAGATTTAGCAATATAGGTATATTTAATTTATTGCAAGTGCATCTAGGGAGAACTTATAGTGCAAAGCAGCGCAGCCAAATCCTTCTCCAGCCCTTAAGGCCAGGTGCTTTATTTTTTGGCACAACAACCTAGCATAATAAATGATACTTTTTATTCTAAAAGACATTACCAAATAAAGAAGAAGATAATTGCTCTAATATCACCTGTCGGTTTTTGCCTTGAACCACACACTACACAGATTGCAGCAAAACATCAACATGAGGTATCACACCCGAATACATGCATGCTCTGAGTATGATGTTCATATTATGTGATGTTTTACACCTAAACACTCCAAATCTCTTCACTTGGCACTGTGGCAGGCACGGTTGAGCAGGGACAGTTTCTCCTCCCCTCACAGACCCCTTGCAGGACCTGCTGGTTGGTTGCACAGTGTGTGCAGTGAGACTACACAAGCTGAAGGGCGACCAAGGCTTGGGCAGGCTGGGAACAGTTGCCACCAGAGCTTGCTAGGGACCTGCTCACACCATTTAATCCTAGAAATGCAGGTCCTCACTGCGAAAATGTCCCCTGATGAAATGCAGGAGACACATACTTGCTGCCCAGGCCGCTCGTACTCCCTGCCGCTTTTGGCCAGGTGCCCTAGGATGCAAGGAGGCACACATTCATCATACTGTTTTTAAGGTTTCTACGCTGAGATGGTCTCAGCCACCCAGAGGATCAGGAGAAAGGACCGCACTCAGTGTCCAGCACCCAAGTTGGGTCAAATGTGGACAAGTGAGTAAATGTCCATCTCGTAGAAACACACAGAGAAGCTCAGATGGCACACGTCTATCCTAATGCCAGGTCTTTCAGTTAACGCTTCCAAATAAAATGTTTCCTTAAGTTTTGGTTAGTCTGGAAGGACTACGTGTAATGCTTAGGAAGTTCGGGTTTTTTTCCCCTTTCTCTCAAGCCCAGCTTGCAGGGGAGGGTACCCAAGCCTCAGGGCGGGTATCACACGGCTCAGCTGCGCTCTGCAGTGCTCAGCAGTGGTGGTGCTTTACTGGGAACGGGATGACACTGTTTCAGTGACAAAGTGCAACAGATGGAGGGTGTATATGGCAGGATTTGCAAGATTTAATCACTTTATGTTATGGTTGCTCACATACCTAGTCACAGGATGAAGTGTTGGTCTTGCTGAAGTCAAAGGTAAAACGCACAAGGACACCAGCAAGCCCAGGAATTTACCCAATGGCTGCAGTTCTGGATGCCAAAATGCAGCCACAAAAATTCCTTAATTGAAAAACAGCCTTTCTATACGTAAGGCCATATTTTTACGAGCCTGCATATCTCAGCATAGATTAGATAGACTCAACTAAATCCTCACTCTCACCAAAAATATCTCCTTTCTCAGTAGGAAAGAAGTTCCACATTTCTAGCCTGGTTGCTCCCTGCATTATCAAACATTGAGCCAGAGGAACAAAGTCCCCCAGGACTGTCACGGGCTGGCAGGGAAGCTCCCACCCTGGGACCTCAAAATACTGTCAGCAGCTTCTGCTCATATCCAGGCTGAAAAAAACTCAATTTCGAAGGCCTATGGGGTGGAGGTGCTGGTGGGGTCATACCGTCATTGTTTGTGTCCATCTGTCTGAAGATCTTGTCTGTTCGCTTCTCTGGAGTGGATTCATCTTCTGGCATTTTCATCACTGATGAAACCATTTTGTAGATTGCCTGAGTATTAAAAAAAAAAAAAAGGAGAGAGAGATAGCAGAAACAGAATCCAAGCTTTAAAGCATCAGGACTCAGGAAAGGAATTTAAGCCTGCAGCAATAAAAAGGGCAGCTGACCCTGGCAAGCAGCTGTAGGACTTTATAAACCAAAACAAATAGGGATTTTAGGCTCCAGCTTTTTTCAGTTTTCTGCATTCATCTGAACATCAGAAAAACACCCCCATTGCTGGGTCCGTTTAACAGAAAGTCAGGGTTTAGATTGGTGTACAAGGGCACAGGGCCGGGACCCCTGGGACAAGCGTCTTGCTCTGGTGCATCTCCTGTGGTCCTCGATGCAGCAGCTCCAGAGACAGGAGCCCTAGGAGTGTCCCTGGGCACTTGCGGGCCGAGGGACCACCTTTCATTTCTGGTGTTCTGAGCTCCTGTTGAGTCACATTTGAAATGTCAGAGCCTGTGGTATTAAGTTTGAGATTAATCAGGTCGGTAAAATTTGCATGCAAGTGTTTTTGAGACTGTCAAAACCACATGAAAAAAAAATACCCAAGGAGAGCCCTAAGATTTTGGCTCAGGTCTACATCTATAGAGACGCACTTGGCTCTCAGACCATTTATTCATTAAACCCTGTGGGTCAAGTCACCTTTCTGAACCGACTTACTGGGATGGTGCCCTCAGCATCCCCTGGGGAACCCATTGCTTCTGCCTGGCCACAGCAGCTGTTCTGCAGCTCCAGCTGTTGGCAGGAGGCATCCCCATATCCCTGACCGGCCCGTGTCTCCCACTCCAGATGTCTGGGGGAAGACGGATTTGGCAGCAAGGAGCTCACCTGCACTATCTCCAGCATTTCACCGCGGCTGATGTAGCCGTTGCCGTCCAGGTCGTACATGCTGAAGGCCCACTTGAGCTTCTGCTCCAGCTTGCCCCGCGAGGTGACGCTCAGGGCGATGATAAATTCCCTGAAGTCGATGGTGCCGTCGCCGTTGGTGTCGAATGTGCGGAACACGTGCTCTGCGAACTTGGAGGCGTCGCCATAGGGGAAGAAGTTGGCGTAGATTTTTTTGAACTCTTCCACAGTCAAATGCCCCGTGGGGCAATCTTTGAGGAAGCCCTTGTACCACTCCTGCAGCTCGTGGTCTGTGAACTCCGTGTTCTCGCGCAGGTCCTGCAGTACCTCGGGGCGCAGCTTGCTGTTCTGCTTGCCCATCCTCCCGGCGCCTCAGGACTCGCTGCTGGGGAGCAAGAGAGCGAGGACGTGAGCCCAGCAGCTGTGATGTCCGAACACAGTGCTACAGCCTTGGGGCAGAGCGGCTGGAGAGCTGTGCGGCAGAGAAGGATCTGGGGGTGCTGGACATGAACTAGCAGTGGGCCCAGGTGGCCAAAGAGGCCAATGGCCTCCTGCCTTTTATCAGGAACAGTGTGGCCAGCAGGACCAGGGAAGTGATCGGCCCCCTGTAGTCGGCGCCAGTGAGGCCGCACCTTGAACGCTGTGTTCAGCTTTGGGCCCCTCACTACAACAAGGACATTGAGGTGCTGGCGCGTGTCCAAAGAAGGACAACGAAGCTGGTGAAGGGGCTGGAGCACAGACCTTATGAAGAGCGGCTGAGGGAGCCGGGGTTACTTAGTCTGGAGAAGAGGAGGCTCCAGGGAGACTTTATAGCTCTCTACAGCTGCCTGAAAGGAGGTTGCAGTGAGGCAGGGGTTGATCTCTTCTCCAGAATAACTGCCAATAGGACAAGAGGAAATAGCCTTGTACCAGGGGAGGTTCAGACTGGATATTAGGAAGAATGTCTACATGGAAAGAGTAGTCAAGCATTGGAACAGGCTGCCCAGAGAAGTGTTGGAGTCACCGTCCCTGACAGCGCCCAAGAAACGGGTAGATGAGGCACTGAGTGACGTGGTTTAACAGGCATGGTGCTGAAGAGCTTACATTTGGACTCAATGATGTTGAAAGTCTTTTCCAACCATAATGATTCTATGACCAAGCAGGAGCTGGTGATGGAGAGTGTAACCCCTATGCAAAGTGACAGTGTCACTGGGAGCTCAACGCCAACCCTCACTAACAGGAGTCAGATGCTCTTGGAAACCTTATTTCCACCCTGCTCACACTGCTTCCCTACATGTCTGGCCAAATCACACCAGCATCCAAAATCCTCCCCTGTCCAAGCGCACGTGTGAAGTTTCTGCTCCCCTAGCTAAGTAAAAAAACAAGCTTGTTTAAAGCAAGCAAAATGTTCGGCAAAGCAGCCAGCGAAGCAAATGTGTAGCCCTCACACAGGTATTTATCAGGAAAAACAAAAAGGATCGGCTTCTGTCCAGGCTTACCAGGCTGTGTGTTTTAATATAAACCTATTCCGCAGCGGTTCATTATTCCCCGCCATGGCAAAGGCACTGCAGCCTGATGCTTTTTCAGGATTTCAGGTGACAGACACAGTCACTGCGCAGGTCCCTGGAAGGGGCACACAGCGCAGAGGGGTTTGTGCTCTCGCAGGGCAGCACGCACAGGACAGTCCTGCAGCTTCGCAGCCTTTGGCAAAATGAAGGATGAAAAACGAAAGATGGGCAACGTATACTTAAAATTGAAAAGGATACGATGATGTGTTTTGGGTGAGTGAGAGCAGAGGCACAGCGATGTGGGCCCACGAAGCAGCGCGGAGCTCCCACCCCGACTTGAAAGGTTCTTTGTGTGCAGCTGCATTTCCTCTTCCAGACGGGAGAGGTCCGACGTCACACAGAATTGCAGCCTGCAAGAACCTCACTAGAGGCTCTCACAGTGCCAACATGGGGTTTACTGGTGAGGTTTGCACAAAGTTGGGCCCAAGTTGCCATGGTTGGAAGGTGATATCGGTGACAGTGCTTTGCACGGTGCTTTATGGCCCGGTTACGGCAGCTCAAAGCCCGTGCAGAAGGGCACAGCAGGCACAGACCCAAGCACACAGGCAGCTACAGCCCCATCCCTTTACACTAGGCAGCGGGAAGAACCTAGTGACAAAACGTGCAGACATGAATGCAGCGGAAAGATAATGCAACTAAGCACTTCCCAGACAGCAACCATCCCCCTCAGGCATCAAAAGCTAAAAGATGTTAAAGGTCAGCAAAAAATAAGTTGCTGTACAGCAAAGAGATTAGCAATAGCTGAATTTAACCTCATTTTATTTTTATTCCAGCTATTCCCTGCATGGCCTCAGCCATGTGAAAAATACACATCCTGTTCTGTGGCTTAATGCTCAAAAAGAAACAAAAAACCCCAAACCAGCCAGTTGCTCTTTAATACAACGCATCAGGCTTAACGGAAAGCTGTGTTATCATTAGCACTTCTGCTTTCTATAAAAGCTGCAAATATTTCACCTCAAAGCTTTACTTCTGTCCACTTCCCTGCACAGTTTTTCCAGGCCCCCGGAAAAATTCTTGTTCCTAACATGCAGGGAAACTAGAGCTCCCCGTCCAGCCAGTGTCAGTCCTTAGGGGCACACAGGGCAGCCCTCCAGTTAACCAGCAGCTCCCATCTGCGCCTGCCTCCTTTCCGCCTTTGAATCATCCCTGCTCCAGATACTGATCCTTGCTGTGCTGAGAGTAGAAAATACAATATTCTACTCTGTTGCAGTCAATTTGCAGAAAACGGTGCCTCGGAGCAAATAACTGATCAACCATGGCTCTGTTTTAAAAGCAAAAATTGTAACGTTATGTTTCTGCCCCTGAGGGAAGACGTTCCTTTGGTTGGTGTCCTTTGGTGAACCTCCTTGCTTTAAGCTGCTTGGTGCCCCACTCTGGAGCAGTCTGCCTGGCTGGCAGCTCCTTCCCAGGCTCCACCGGGATCCCAGCAAGGGGACAGCGGGACCGGCACGAGCGGCAGCAGCGGAGCCCCCTTAGAGCAGCAGCAGGACTTTCAGCAGGCATAAACCCAGCTGTAGGCGCGGGGCACACAGGTTTGGGGAGTGCACAACAGACCTGAAAACTGGCAGTTAAAAAGAAATCTGAAAAGAAAGCAATGGAGTTTCTCCCTTTTCTTGCAATATCTCTATTTATGCTACTAAAGATGCTAGACAACACACCCCTATAGATGTGAGATGACAGCAAAAGGGAAAACATGTTAACTTCATTTACTTGAGTTCACTACTTCTAACAGCAAAAATCCTGTTATTAGGATGGATATTCATTTAGTATCAACTTCAAAAGCTTTACATTTGAGTAGTCTCTGCATTCAACAAATTACAAGTTATTTCAACTCTTCCTCCTCTTTTAAATCACAGTATATCAGAATGCAATGTGCAAAGCTCTAAACACAATCCTTTTCAGCCTAGGAGCTTTTCAAAAGGCTTCATGATGTGCTCAACCCAAATATAACCCTGCAGTAGTTGTATCCAATTTGCTGAGAATAATTAAATAACCACCATTAACATTAATTTATTAAAGCACATCTGAAAAAAGCAGCTCTTAGATGTAAATTGCGTTTCAGGTAGCTCCTACAAAGCGAAACACCTAAATACCTCATTAATCATGACAGAAACCCCCGCTGCTGCCATCCAAGTGGTGCCTCATTTGATTGCTCCTCGACGCTCCCATCAAACCTGCTGCCAGGGGCTCCGGATGGGACTCCCGTGCAGCCCCCGCTCCACCGCAGCCAGCAGGACCGGGCACCTCTGGTGCTCCTGGCACTGCCATCAGGGCTGAATCCCCTGCAGCAGCACAGAAATAACCGCAGGGCCTTCCTCGACCTGCTGTGTGCAGTGCTGGGCCCCACAGTACAAGAGGGATGTGGAGCAAAATCTTAGCAATAAGCAAAAAGTCTTTTTACTTGCAAGTTGTTACTCATGCAGCACAACAGTGAATAACCACAGATAACTCCAAAATAGCTAAACTGGCAATTCTGTAATTTTTACAGTAAACGGTCTGGTTTTCAGCATCTGTATTCAAGTACTTATGACAAAGTTAATCTTACCTCTTAAATCAACTCTTGGCTGACCACTAGCTAGGGCAAGAAGTATCCTTCTTGCACATACCCCAGAAAGTCAGAAGAGCAAATCTGCTTTAATTCAAACCTTCTGAAGGCAAAAGCTCTTTGAACAGAACTCCTGATGGGATTCTATTAGTGAATCAGTTAAGGCTGCAAAAGTAGAAACATCTCCTTAGAGATGCACTTCAGTGTGCAAAGCTCCTTGGATACTGATTCAGTGTTAATAAAAAGAGGAAAATTTATGAAATGTCTGTCTGCAGGACTGTGGTGCTCTTCAGCAGAGAAAGAGAGCACATAGAGAAATGCAATAAATAATTTTTATATGATCTGAGCTACTTGCTTTGCAGGGGAGAATCCGGCACCATTCATCTCACAGGGCTGAGTTACAAAACATGAAGAGCATGTCCAAGATCCGTGACGGCCCCGAAGCTGCAGCACAGCTGCAATCCTACAGCTCAGGGACTGCAGGAGCCCAGAGCAAATGGAGCACATAAGCCAGGCATCAAACATCACCCTGAGCCGCTCTGAAACATGAGAGCTGTTCCCACGTTGATGGAAAATTCCTTACGAAAACAGCTGGAGCATCAGCTCCACCTCTGTTCCCATTCTCTTTGGGAAAAGAGAGGAGGGGACTCAGTCTGCTGTGGCCATGTGAACATCATGTTAAGAAAGACTTTGCTTGGAAATAGCCCCAAGACTCCTTTTCCTATGGCCAGGCAAAGATGAGAGCCATGGAGGGCTCCTGCATAAACTTAAACTTCTTTAAGGTGTCTGAGGCTCCCGTGGAGGAAGCCACAAGAGGGAGACAGGTTCTCACGCTGGTGCATCCCTCTGGGTACTCCATGGGGCCAGTCCCAAACACCTAATCGTATCGCAGGCCAAACTGAGTCCTCGCCAGGAGCCACCGCTCGTTGCTCACGACTTTATGATATAAACTTTGTTTTTGTGGCAAAAGGAATAGAGGGAAGCGGCTCTGCGCCTGGCTCCGCGTGGGCACCCTCCCTTTGGAGCTCGCAGCACGCTGGGGCGGCCTCGCTGTGTCCTGGGAGCGAGAGCAGCAACCACCAAACTGTGTCAGTAAATCCCTCCTGCTAACACCACAAACACGCTGCACATTGAGATACAAAGACATTTTCTAGTCCCCTTTTGCACAAGGCCAGTCAACAAGCCTACCCTAAACAGTGAGGGAAATGTCCCATTACGCAGGCCTGGGACAGACAACAAACTCACAAGGAAAAAGCAGATTTTGTTACACATTTGAATGCCAGTATCCTAAGCAACGAGGGCTGCAACAGACAGCTACAGGATATACAGATACGTTGCTATAGATATGTGGTCCTTCCTGGTGAATTCACGTGAACCTCTTTCCTGCCCCGCGGCGAAAGCAGCACAAAAGCCGTTACGTAACCGCCCGCGGCGCCGCTGCTCATTCACCAGCTACCCGCTCGGGGCCAAAAGCAGCACTCTGCGTAAAGCCGAACGTTTCCACGTCTTCAGAAGTCAACAATGGAAACAGTTAGACAAAAGAAACACCACCATCCAAAATAACACCGAAAATTCCCCCGCAGGCTTCAGGGCTAAAAACCCAAGTCAGCTGCTTCAGCAAGAGGCAGAGGTGCTTCCTCTGCTGCCTCTCTTGAAACAGAAAGAAAAACAGCGCTGATGAGAAAGCAAAGAGCAAACAATACTAACACAAAATGGGAATTCCAACTTCCTTGCTCTTAATGTTTTTATTAAATTGAAAGTGTAGCCCCTTTGCAACTTAGTTGGATCTTCTTCCAAACCTTGATAAGGAAGAGGGTAATGGGGCAAGGCCACCATCTGCACTCCCCACACTTGCACACTCAGAAAACTCAGCAGCAACCTGGGCATCGAAGTCGAGCAGCCTGCAGAAAGGCATCACAAAGTGGTCACATCCCCAGCCCCGTGTCAGCCCAAAGGCCTAACCACAAGCACGTCCACTGGAGCTCTGAAGTGATCTTGAAAAACTGGTCCCGTGTCGGGGAGCACAGATGCAAAGCGAGTAGGGGCAAATCCCCAAGGGGGGCTGCAGACGCAGCGGCGCCGGCCCCGCGCGCGGCTGGGGAGCGGGGTGCTTTCAGGAAGGCTCATTGATTTCACGGCGTCAGCTGCAACCTCGGGGACCGAAGAAATTCAATTACGACGCTCTGGATTCCTCATGCACATTTAAATGGCTATACTCAGGATTATATTCCTCATTCACACAGAAAACCCATTACTCTACGGCACGAAGCACTGGTGCATTAGCCCGAGAACCCTTTTACCTTCCTATCCCCAAGACCAAGCAGTTGCACGTTACAGCCGCAGCATTTCCCCGGCTGTGCGGTCCCTACAGCGAGCTCGTGGGTGCAGGTAGCTGCTGTAGGCTCCTACTGACACCTCCTGTGCTACAAAGCACCACTGTGTCCAAGAACTGCGCCTCAAAACACACCTGATTTCGTGAACTCTGGCTCACGAAGAAAGCCAGGCCGCGCGGTGGCGGAAAATTGGATGTTCCTCAGCGAGCTCTCCAAAACACTCCGCAGCTCGGAGAGGACGGGCTCACCAGTGTAAAGGGCAATAGTCCCAAAGCAACAAAAAACAAACAAACAAAACAAAGCACAGAAATATTTTGAGCAAATTAGGGAAACGGGTTAATCTGGGTGGGGCAGACCAGGCAGTGATGCAGCTTGTTATTTGAGAAAGGAAAAGAAAATCAAGAGTGGATTTTCCTCACTTCCTCTCTCAGCTTTTTTTTTTTTTCTTTTTAATGAAGCTGAGGGAGAAGCAGTCAACCTTGTTCTGTCTCTGGATGCTGTGTGAAATTGGCAAGGCTTTAGAAAAAAAAAAAGTTTGTTTACACAGTGTTACACAGCAAGGAAAACATGTCAGCACAATGCCTTAATACACAAAGTCTTTTTCTTTCTGAGAAGGTTGGGCTGCATGAGGAAAAATCCACGTCATGTTAATTTAAGATACTAGGGTGATATATGATATACAATAAACCTCCATGATTGCAGGCTGCCTACAGGACAGGGAAAGGTGCCCAGTATGGACCGGGAAGCAGATTCCAACCTCGGAGTCTGCAAAGGTCAAAGCAAAGTGAGAAATCAGCACAGGGCAGGGCCGATAGAAGGATAAAATCAAATACACAGAAATACCAGGCATGAGCTGTCTCATCCTTCGATTTCAAAAGTTTCATATGACAAATTTAGGTGATTAAAGTTATCTTTCACTTGCTAGGAATCCCTCGAAAGCTTCTATAATGCTTTTGCTTTATAGAAGCTAAATTCATTTTGCATCTATAATGCATTTGTGTAATGCAAATACAGTAATATATTAGTACATTAATATATTAATTAGGTAACATATGCAAATATATTTTGAATATACATCAAATACCCTATCTGGTGACAGGAGATACTCACAGAATCACAGTACAGTTGGGGTTGGAGGTGACCCCTGGAGATTTTGAGGTGTCAAGAGGATTTGGGGGCAGCTAATGGAGCTGTTCTTTAAATTGTGGAAGAAGGGGAGGTGGTTGCTTTCAAGGAGTGGAAAGAAACCTTTTTAGAAAGTAAAGAGATTGTTTAACAGAGGAACACTTAGTAAATAAGGTGATGAAAGCTCTGGTTTTTGAGATATTTTCATTAACTACCTTTAAGAAAAACAAACAAACAAAACCAAACCAAACAATAGGCATTTATTTAGATACTAATTAAAAATAATGAAATATCAGAAAAAAAAATCAAAGAGAAAGATCATTTGTCACAAAGTTTTCACCCACCATCCAGAGACATCTTGGTTTGGACAGCGTCAATGAGACATATCCTCTCTCTGGCCGTGCACAAGGCAGGGTGATGTATATAATCTCCGCTTCCCACCTTTCACTTAAGATCCCGTTATTAAAAACAGGATAAGTTCTGCAGAAGACAGAGATACTGGATTACTTTGTGACTACTTCCTGCAAAAGCTGTACAAAAATGGGCCATATCCCTTTGCTGCCAGGACTGGTACTTGAGGGACTCTCTGAGTAGCCAAGTCCTCGGCAGCAGAAGCTGCTGCAACAGCACAACCCGCTCCCATGGGCCGACGCATCTGCATCCCAGCTCGTGCACTAAGCAGTTACAGCAGCTTCCAATAATCCTGAATACTCAACAGCGTGACTCGTTCCTGAGAGCCCTCACTATAAATTATGCACAAGAGCAGCAGGGCAGCGTCTATCTAAGAGAGGGGGAGAGTTCCAAATGCGAGGAGACAGCTAAAGGCTCCCTCAGCCAGGCACACACAGATATTTCTAGTGGGACCAAAAGCACCCCTATGAAAATACTTTCTCTTCTCTGGCATTTGTGTGTGGCTTCCAACATTTGAATGCAAATCATTTTGGAAGCAAATCATGCAATCAGCAGTCGAGATATCACTTTTTCCCATTAATCTTCACCACTGGGCTCCATCCCTGGCAATATTCCCATCAAAGCCCTGAACGTGCTTTGCGGAGCGCTGCAGGTGAGGGCTGCCTGGAGCTGGCTCTTTGTCTCAAGCTGAGCAAGGCAGCGGGTGAAAATCAATCAAACTGAATTCTACTTTGTGATATCAGTAGTTGCCAAATGGTTGTATTTTCCTTCCTAAATAGGTAAGGTAACAGGAAGAACACGGAACAGGTTTGAAGCAGGAAGGGTCCCAAGAGGCATGAAATTAGAAGGAATAACCTCCACCTGAGACCACGCGTTCAGCACATCCTGCCCAGAATGACACTGGGTGTCACATCAGTGAAGATCTCTACTGGAAAACAGGAAATGAGTGTCTTCTCTGAACGTCTTCGCTGAGGGTGCACAAGCTGCCTCGTCCTCCTCCCCCCATGAAAAACACACTTCTGATGCCACCTCAAGGTCTCTCAGAATGAACAATGCCCATGCACTTGATCTCAGCAAAGAGAAAAAATAATACGTTGTTTGTAACATTCGCACATATCAGACCATGAGATAAGCTATTCTTGGTCTAGCCATGCCTGTGGAAGGGCTACTGCCCTCAGCGGTTCTTCATTTTCGTCATTAATTCCTCTGGTCTGTGAAGAAACCACAATACTTAATATCAACTGAGTTTCAGTTCCAAAAGACGACAGAAAATCATACTAAGCCTAGTATTTTTTTTATCAACTTCTACATCTTTCAACATCCAAGATCCATGCTAGCCATTCATGTGTGTTTTTTTTTAACACCCCTTTCCCCAGTGATGGCATATCTATTTGCTTGTACCTTGAAATTTTCTGCAACTTTTCTGCGTGGGGAAGGTATCCCAAGCGAGAAGACATGTCAACAAAAGCTTTCCAAATGCACAACATTTGCATAACACCAACACCACAATTTACCATGTGTTTTTTCATCTCTAGAGGACCAGGAAATAAGTGCTTAAAGGACGTGGTCCTGGTGGTTAAAAAAGAGGGTAAATTCAAGGATGCGGTTAAGAGTTTGTGAGATGATGTGTTTTTCCATGGTGCAAATGTCTTCTTGCAGCACGCAAGAGCAAGACTGCTCCCCTTAGCCTTGAAGCCCGTTAACAGTATTTTGTTTGCAGAACGTATGTTAAAATGGGAGGGCCGGAGGACATGCAACCTTCGGTGTCAAGGGAGCCAGATCTGACACTGATGTAAATATTTGGAATTACACTGGCATCAAGGAAAAGGCTTGAAGCTCCAGTTCCTGCAAGGGGAAGGAAACGAAGCTTCACACGCTCAGTTCAAAGTGGTCAGGCCTACAGAGAGACCAGGTAGATCCTCCAGCAGATACTTGTCCCTGGCTGAAGCTGCCTGTTCAAACTTTCCTTTCCCACCTCTGGCTTACAAAGTCAGACTCCTGCTGCTGGTCTTTCCTGTGGCATATTCAAAACAATCGAAATACTCCCACATTTTCCTTCCATGCTCTCGAGACAATATGTAGTACCTTAAAAACATTTCAGATCCTCCAATCCTGGTGCTAAGCACCTTTTTTGAGCTTCTTGATTCAATAACTCAGAGAAAACAGACCACGATTTGAAGTTCATTTTGATATCTCCCTGTCCCCCACAAAGCTTCACAAATAAACCAAAAGAGTAAACAAATGCAATCAGGTTTTCAAAGGAAGGCCAACCCCCATATTTGCTCTTTGCAACACCAACTTTTCCAACTGCCCGAGCGGGGGTGAGGCAGGGCAGGCAGTCGGAACATTTATTCCGATATCACATTCCCAGACACTGCTCATGGGCTGGCGTTTTGGTTCAGAAATGTCACTTGAGAAAAGGAAAGGAGGCACATCTAAGGATGACCCTTTCAAACAATAGCACAAATGCCCCTGGCGAACTCGAGTTTGGAGCAACTCCAAGCAGGGTGGGGATTGCAAGGAAGCAGACAAAAGAGTCGATGGGATTTGGACAGGGATCTACAGGGAGGAAACACTTCCTACTTCCTAGAGCCCACAGAAAGGACAAGAGCTTTAAATAAACCTCCTCCAGGAGGTTACTGATGACCAGAAGTGTTGCTGCTGGAAGCAATGCTGACCTGTCTGCCCCTGGCCGCGGTACGAGCAGCCGCTTGCTGACCACAAAGCCTCTGTGCCACATGGAAAAGGCAAGGACCATTCACTCAACTCCCACTCCAAAGGTGCAGACCCAGGCTTGACTCCAGAAAAAAAAAACAAAACAAAAACAAAAACACACAATAAGCAGAAAAATCTTCACACTGCACTACCACCTGTGCATCACGCTCAACACATTTCTCGCCGCGTTTACCTTTGAGCCCTTTCTCATAGGATCTCTTTGGCTGCAACAGCCTGTTTACTTTGATCTGTCAGGATGCTAACCTTGCTCTATCCATAGCTCTCAAAACCTCCCTTCCTTCTGGCTATTATTCTGTTCTTTTACATTTATATTGTGTCTTTCCCCTCTTTGGGCTCCCACAGTGAGAGCAGCCCCCTCACAAAGACAACCCATGTGCTGGGCAGCATGGGCTATAATACTGATAAGCAAGTAACTAGGGTTGACCCCAAAACCACCCTAAGAAGCACTGGTAGGGCATTTACTTTGCCTGGACATAACAGAATCCAACCCTAAATACAACTGCC